GCGGCACCCTAGGGTGAGACAGGTGAAGTGAGCCACCTCAGCCAGGTTGCAGAGCCTCAGGGTTACCACAGAGGTCAGGGGGCACTCAGGGGACAGACCTGAGTTTGCCTACACAGGGTCTTGCCTTCTGGCTTTGTGCCAAGAATAAGCTCACTCCTCGGGCCCTCTGATCCTCTAGTCCAGCCACACCCAGATGTTCCTCCAGTTGTCCTGGGCAGAGGCCTCATTCAGCAGACCCGGGGCAGGGCCCTGGGCTCTGCTTCCATCAGGTGTGCTTCCGCCTGCCACAACCACGTCTCTTCCAGCCCCCAGGGCACTCATAAGAGGCTCTGGCAAATACTTGGGCTGAAATGTGGGTCACTCTGTGCATGGGTCGGAAATCCATCAAACAGACATTTACTAAGTGCCTACAAAGCAGGGTGCTAAGTGCAGCGCAGATGGGACCTGGTTCAAATCCCAGTTCTGCTTCTTTCCAGCTGTGCGACCTTGCCACTGCACTTCTCCAAAGCAAGCGTCTTCACCGCTCTGCAAACGGTGACATGGCAACGTCAACATAGCTCTCGTCATCACAGGCAGGTACTGTGGTGATGGTGGTGGCGGGGAGGGGTGGATCCGGTCACAAACGGAAAACCCGAAGGTCTATAATCTAGGCAAGAGACAAAGACAAGCCAGTAATATGTCGTTATGGGCAAAAGTTGAGAAGTATGCAGGGTGCTCGGAAGGCAGTACCTGAGATAGGCTCTGAGGAAGTTCAGCGCCTAAGCCGGGAGCAGTGGCTCACATCTGTAATCCCAGCACTTTGGGAGGCTGAGGTGGGCGGACTGCTTGAGGTCAGGAGTTCGACACCATCCTGGCCAACATGGCAAAACCCCTTCTCAACTAAACATACAAAAATTAGCCTGGGGTGGTGGCGCACGCCTGTGATCCCAGCTACTCAGAAGGTTGAAGCAGGAGAATCGCTTGAACCCAGGAGGTGGAGGTTGCAGTGAGCCGAGATCGCGCCACTGCACTCCAGCCTGGGTGACAGAGTGAGACTTCATCTGAAAAAATAAAAGGGAAGTAGCCTGTCTAGATGGGAGTGACAAGGACCAAGTGTCCCTGGGAGAAGAAACGGCCCTGGTGGCAGATCACTCAAGCCTGGGAGGTGGAGGCTGCAGTGAGCTGTGACTGCACCACTGCACTCCTGCCTGGGTGACAGAGCAAGACCCTATCTCCAGGGGGGAGGAAAAAAAAAGAGAGAAAAAGATAAGGCCCAACAACCAAGGCCAAGCAGGTGGGAATGCAGAAAGGCCAGCATTTCAGTTCTGTGCTCCAAAGCCTCTCAGAACAGTGTGCTGCAGACAGAAGGGCTGGCTGGAACCATTCAGCGGGGCATCTCTTGCAACCTGCTCTGGCGAACGCTCTGAGCTTACACCAGACAGGTGCAGATTTGCACGTTTAAATCCTGGGTCTATCACTTCTTGTGTGACCCTGAGCAAGTCACTTCATCTCTGGGTCCCAGATTCCTTGTTTGCAGAGCAGATTTCATACCCAATACACGGAATGTACCTGGGGGTCCCGGGGTCTAGATCCCCTCTTCCAAGCAGTCCGTTCCAGTTTCCTACTGGCCAGTGGCTCATGCCTGTAAGCCCAGCACTCTGAGAGGCCGAGGTGGGAGGACTCTGTGATGCCAGGTGTCTGAGGCCGGCCTGAGCGACGCAGTGAGACCCCCATCACTACAAACATTTAAAAATTCACTGAGTGCAGTGGTGCGCACATGAAGTCCCAGCTACTCGGGAGGCTGACGTGAGGACTGCTTGAGCCCAGGAGTTCGAGGCTGCAGTGAGCTGTGATGGTGCCACTGTACTTCAGCCTGGGCAATAGCGTGAGATCCCATCTCTTAAAAACAGACAGGCAAAAAAGCTGTGAGATTCGGTGCCACCTCCTGCAGGCAGGTATCCAGCCTTCTAGGTACCCTGCCAGACATGGTACCTAGATTCCCTGACTCCACCCTGGGGCAGAGTGATGGCTTCTTTCCTTCTCTTCCACCAGGATCTAGGGCTTGGAAGAGGCAGGGGTAAGGTATCTCTGTGCCCCCGGACCCAGCCACACCCCCACACAGTGTTTCTCAATGCCATTCCCTTTCCGCAGCTCCACCCCACGAGAAGGAAGAAGTGACCTAAGTCTGCTAAGGGGCGGAGGGAAAGGTTTGGGAAGGGTTTAGGGTGCTGTCATTAACTCTTGAGGATTGAATAGGAACTTACTAGGGGTGGATAGAGTTCTCCTGCCTGTTCCAGGCAGATGAAAGAGAGGCAGACACAAAGGCACAGAGGTGTGTAGGGAAGAATAAGGTGAGTTGTGTATTTGCTGGGGGAGGGATAAAGATGAGGATTCAAGGCCAGGAGCAGTAATCCCAGCACTCTGGGAGGTCAAGGTGGGAGGACCCTTGAGCCCAGGAGTCAGAGGCTCCACGGAGCTATGACGGCGCCACTGAACTCAGCCTGTGCGAAAGAGTAAGACTCTGTCTCTAAAAACTGAAAAGATAAAAGATGATGATTCAGAATGTAGATCCCAAAGGGCTTTGAATGCCATGTCAGTGATTTGACGCTATAGAAAGTGACTACAAACTGTAGACGGGTGGCACAGGGACCCTCAGGGCCTGCTGTGCTAGTCTGGGCTAAATTTAGGTTTTAGAGAGGGAGGTGACACTGTGGGTCACCACCTGGGGGCAGGAATTGCAGGAAGAATCTAGGGGGTTCTACCTGGAAGGCTGAATATCGAAAACAGCTTAACCCCCGTGTCCGCAGGCTGCCACCCATCAACACTTGCTAAAAAGCCACTGTCCACAGCCATCCCAGCCATCCACACAGCTCCATGTCCATGAGTGGGCCAGGTGGTGCTATCTCTATTTTACAGACAAAGTGTGAGCCAGAGGAGAGAGGCTTCACCTCAGCCACGCAGGTAGGGAGAGGGCTCTGGTCATGATCCGAAGCCACTGTCTGGTCTCAGAGTGCTTGTGGTGGCAGGTCCTCAGGCATCTGACAAACGTTCCAGCAGTTTTTGAGGCCAGACCATGGAGACACAGAGATGGCCTCTGGCCTCTGAGTCATCTTGAGACTGGACTAGTCAGCTGGGTCACCTGGGCCTGGGACAGGACAGGCTGCCTTCTGCAGGAGGGAGGAAGGGGGACCCACTGAGGGGCAGGTTTTCTTATGTTCAGAGAGGCCAGCAGAGGGGCTTGCCCCCAGAGACATGCCTATCCATGGGACTCTGAGTTGGGGGCTGGAAGGAGGCCAGTCCCTCCTCCAAGGGGAAGAAGCTGAGGGACCCTGCCCTTTGCTGCCTTTCTAAGGAGCCCCCAAATGCCCCCTCCCTTCCAGCACCCAGGCCCTGTGCACAGCCGCAGCCTGAGTCATCATCCCCATTTGAATGGTAGCCGAGAAATCAGCCAGGGGGCTGCCCAGGGCTGAGGGCCAAGGCTTGGAAAAACAAGGCTGTTCTGTTACCTCCAAGGCTTGGAACGTCAAGCCTGGCTAGGGAGTCAGGGGCAGAGGGCAGGCAGAAGCAGGATTGGAAGGTGTCAACAGCCAGAGGGGGCTTTGTGTGTCAGAGGGGTGGGGGCGATGCGCGTTAGAATCCGAGCTGTTGGCTTTTGTTTTCAAATGACCTGTTTAATCATCACCCTTTGCAATCGACGGGGAGCACGGGCCCCGTGGCAGAGGCTAGGCAAGGATTTCAAATCTCCAAACCCTACAGAGCAGCCGGAGAAGAAAGTCAACAAGATGCCACCGGCAGCTCTGGCTCCATCTCACAAACAATAGCCGGACTGAACACCCGGCTCAGACACACACATCAAAGTGAGATTTCCAAGCAAGAACTTTCACAGGCAGATAACAGGCTTGGATGGAATGATTTCCCTATGTCCCTTGAGCTCAGCGCCAAAGGGGGCAGCCCAAGGGGGCTGTCATTTTCACGCTAACCTTGACCCGTAATGTATTCATTCATTTTGCACTGAGGGAGAGCCACCACCGCCCCAAATCGCGAAAAACCAACCAGTAACAACTTTCTCATTCCTTTTAAACACTCACAATGGTGGGCAAATGAGACTTAAGTTAATGCAGCTTGCTGGCACTCACACTCCCCTGGGCTCGGGCTCCTTCGGCAACAACAACGAAACCCTAACGTAAGCACCCACCGGGCTCACAAAGTCAAACCCTTACCTGGCGTGGGGGAAAATCCAAGTATGTGTGTGCGAATGTCCGTGTTTTCCCTCTCTTACCTTCCAAGGCCTTCACCTACATTCTTCCCTTGTAGCATCCAAGCCCAGCCTCAAGGCAGATGCATAAACACCCCTGCTCCTCCCCTTCCACGGTTGGGGAAAACATCCCCCACCCCCTTTCCAGGACCCTGAGGAAAAAGAATCACGTCCTCTGCAGCCCTTCCCTGGCCCTCGCCCACCCCCCCTGCCCCCTCCATTCCAGGCGGTCCGGGAGCAAGCCTCGTAGGCACCTTGAGATAAACACCCACTAATGATTTTATGATTTTCTGCTCCGGGTAACCGCGCTCAGCGGAATCCCTCCCCCCGCCGTGGCGACGGGGGCCGGCCCAACCGAGGGATGGGGGGATGGGGGCGTTAGTTTGTTTTTTCCACGGCCGCGTCCCCACACCTGTTTTTCATTCATTCATTCGTTCGTTCCTTCATCCATTCACGGATCCGTCACTGCGGCCGCCCCGCCCCCCCCCGATTTCGGGGAGGGGGCTGCAATGGGGGAGGGGGTGCGAGATGTTGGGGGGGCGACGGAGGTGGGGGGGCGCACCGGGGGGTGGAGGGTTGCGGGGGGTCCCGGAGCCAGGACCCCGCGGCTCGGGCTTTGTCAGGCGCGGGCGAAGCGGCGGCGGGGGCGGGGCGGGGGCGCTCCCCGGGCCCGAAGTTGTTTTCCGAGGCGCGGCGGCGAGGACAGCGGCCCGGGGTGCGCCCCCTTTGTCTGTCCCCGGCCGGCGCCGCGTCCCCGCGCGCTCACCTGGTCTTGGAGGACAGGAAGGCAAGTTTGATGAGGCCGTAGGTGAACAGCGGGATACTCTCCTTGGCGACGCTGGCAACTTGCAGCCGGTGCTCCAGGATGTGGAGTTCCATCGTCCGCCCGCGCCCCGTCCGCGGCGGCTCATCCGCGGGGGGACGAGCCGCGGCCCCCGCCCCCTCCGCGCCCTGCCGGCACCGACAGCCGGCCCGGGGACCCGGGAGCTCGGCGCCGGGCGCGGGGGGCGGCGGCGGCCGGGCCGGGCCGGACAAAGGGGAGGAGGCCCGCCAAGTTGCGAGGAGGAGCCGTGGGGCGAGGGAGGCAGCGCCGGCGGAGCAGCAGCCGAGCGGCCGAGCGGCGGAGCAGCGGCGCGCGGCGCTCGGCGCGGGGAGCAGCTGGTGTTCGCTGTAACAAACAACTTGCCACTCAAACGCCGGGCCCCGCTGCGCATGCGCGGCCCGCGCGCGGCCTGCCGGGACTTGTAGTCTGCCTGGGGGGGGCCACCCCGGTGCTGCTGCTGCTGTTGTTGCTGACGCGGGGGCTGGGCGGTCAAGCTACGCGCACGGGAAATGCAGGAGCGTGGGCACCCTCAGGGCCGCGAGGGAGGCCGAGGGGAGGCACGGGGCCGGTGGAGCCAGCCTGAGGCTAGGTGCCCCCTCTCGCACTCACTCAGGCTCGGGACTAGGCGCTTGGAGTGCAAAGAGAGCACCCCAGACGAATCCGGTGCTGGAGGAGGCCCGAGTCTGGCAGCGCAGAGATGTAGGGCAATCGGTCATGAGCGTGCAGAGAAGCCAAACCGAAAAGCGTGCTGGGAGGGGATTGACAGGCCAAAGGGGGTGACCTGGGGGAGGGGACATCCCGGGTGGGTTTTGCAGAATGAACGTGAGTTCATAGGAAGGGGATGAGGGCGCGCCGATGGAGGACCGGAGCCTTCCAGGCCGTAGGAACAGCGTGTCCTAAGGCACAGAAGCGTGAAAGCCCCCACGGTGCTGTGTTTGGTTTTGTTGCAGCGGAAAATGTGAGGCAGGAGAGAAAAGAGATAAGGCAGGCACAGTCACCAGGAGTCCGGTCGGGAGGGTCATGTGTGCAGAGCTAATGAGGTGGCCATTTATCCCGCGAGAGAGGGGGTGGTGGGAACTGCAAAGGCTGAAGGAGGGGGAAATGTAAAATGCGTCGGAGGCACTTCCAACCCCAGGGCCCACGTGCCCAGACCACAGAGGTTCCTCCGTCATGGCTGTCTGGTTTTGAGGTGTTCTGGGTTAAAGTAACTGGTGCTTCGACCTTTGGCAGAGTCATATGGGGACGTGATGGGTGCAAGCTACCTGCCAGGGCAGGCTGAGAACTCTCTTTTAGGGGAAAATTGCAGTTGTGCTCCCTCTCCTTCCCTCAGCTCTCATCTGTTAGGTAGGAACATCCTAAGTTTTGTCATTTCCACAAAAGGGTGAAAAGCCTGGAATCTGTGGTACATAGATCTTAGAGCATGCATATCCCCCTTCCACTTTATTTTCTTTTACTTCTTTCTTTTATTTATTTTTTAAGAGACAGGGTCTTGCTCTCTTGCCCAGGATGGAGTGCAGGGGCGCCACCGTAGGTCTCTACAGCCTTGAACTCCTGGGCTTAAGTGATCCTCGCACCTCAGCTTCTGGAGTAGCTGGGACTACAGTTGCACACCACCATACCCGGCTAATTTTTTTTTTTTCAGACAGAGTTTTGCTCTGTCACCCAGGCTGGAGTGCAATGGTGCAATCTCGGCTCACTGCAACCTCCCCATCCTGGGTTCAGCGATTCTCGTGCCTTGGCCTCCCTAGTAGCTGGGATTACAGGCGCCCTCCACCACGCCTGGCTAGATTTTGTATTTTTAGTAGAGAATGCCATGTTGTCCAGGCTGATCTTGAACTCCTGACCTGAGGTGATCCACCCACCTTGGCCTCTCAAAATGCTGGGATTACAGGCTTGAATCACCATGCCTCGCCTTTTTTTTTTTTTTTTAACTTTCTGTAGAGAGGGGCATCTCACTGTGTTGCCCAGGCTAGCCTTGAACTCCTGGCCTCATGCGATCCTCCAGTCTCAGCACTTTTTTAAAAAAATATACAGTCTCAACTCCACACAGGCAGTGATTTTTGTCTCTTTCCATTGTCAGCAATAGTGATTAGCCCATGAGAGACACTCATTCAATATTTGTGGAATGCATCAATGCACGTATCTATGCCTTTAGAGTCTAGAGATCTAGAAAGTCCAAACAGAAATGCATTCAGGGGCCAGACAGATTACACAGAACTGTGAAGCAGTTGCCTATCAGATAGTTGGAAATATGTCTGGGTGTTGTGGCTCACGCCTGTAATCCCAACATTTTGGGAAGCCAAGGCAGGTAGATCATTTGAGGTCAGGATTTTGAGATCAGCCTGACCAACATGGTGAAACCTCCTCTCTACTAAAAACAAAAAAAATTAGCTGGGCATGGTGGCACATTCTCCTGAGGCAGTAGAATCTCTTGAACCAGTGGGGTGGAGGTTGCAGTGAGCTGAGATCGCGCCACTGCACTCCAGTCTGGGCATCAGAGTGAGACTCCATCTCAAAAAAAAAGAAAGAAAGAAAGAAAGAAAAGTTGGAAATGGTACAGGTAAAGGGAGTCCTGTCTGATGGTATAAAATTCAGTTTCTTTAAAAAAAAGAAAAAGCAACCAGCTGGGTGTGGTGGCTTATGCCTATAATCCCAGCATTTTGGGAGGCCAAGACAAGAGGATCTCTTGAGGCTGGGAGTTTGAGAACAGCCTGGGCAACATAGCAAGAACCCTCATCTCTACAGAAATAAAAATGTAAGAAATTAGCCAGATGTGGCAGCATGCACCTGTAGTCCTAGTTACTCAGGAGGCTGAGGTGGGAGGATCCCTTGGGCCCAGGAGTTCAGACCTGCAGTAAACTATTATTGCCCCACTGGACTCTAGCCTGGGTAACAGAGTGAGATCGTTTCTTCAACAAAATGAAAAAATCCCCCGAAAAACAACAACAACACATTGAAATAAACTAGAAAATGGCAGTGTTGTATATAGAATGGGTAGCTTACTATTATATATTTTTTTTCTTTCTTTTTTTTTTTTTTTGAGACAGAGTCTATATCTTTCTTGAGGCTGGAGTGCAGTGGTGCAATCTTGGCTCACTGCAACAAACTCTGCCTCCCAGGTCCTAGCAATTCTCCCACCTCAGCCTCCTGAGTAACTGGGACTACAGGTGCCTGCCACCATGCCCAGCTAATTTTTGCATTTTTAGTAGAGACAGAGTTTCACCATGTTGGCCAGGCTGGTCTCAATCTCTTGACCTCATGATCTACTCGCCTCAGCCTCCCACAATGCTGGGGTTACAGGCGTGAGCCACCACACCTGGCCATTATCTTTTCTATACTGTAGGGCACTTTAATTTTGCCCATGTGTGTACGGGGGTGCATGCATGTGTGTGTCTGAGTATGTATACTACACCTCCTGGGTTCAAGCAATTCTCCTGCCTCAGCCCTCCAAGTAGTTGGGATTACAGGTGCACACCACCACACCTGGCTAATTTTTGTAATTTTTTTTTTTTTTTGAGACAGAGTTTCGCTCTTGTTACCCAGGCTGGAGTGCAATGGCGCGATCTCGGCTCACCGCAACCTCCGCCTCCTGGGTTCAGGCAATTCTCCTGCCTCAGCCTCCCGAGTAGCTGGGATTACAGGCACGCGCCACCATGCCCAGCTAATTTTTTGTATTTTTAGTAGAGACAGGGTTTCACTATGTCGTCAAGGCTCTCGTCTCAAACTCCTGGCCTCAGGTGATCCACCGGCCTCGGCCTCCCAAAGTGCTGGGATTACAGGCATGAGCCGCTGCACCTGGCTAAAACTGTTAACAAGCACTGTGGGTGTTATATTTCATCAAGCCAGACCATCACGAAGTTTGCGAATTTAGACCTTCCCGTTTTGACTTGCTGAACGCTTTCACTCAGCTGTATCTGGTGCTTAAGATTTCTGTGGAACTAACTTCTGAAGTTCCCTTTGGGGGGTTAAGGAAATTGACCTCTGGGTTGCCAAGTCCCGAGGATGGTTTCAGGCTAGGATTGGGGTGAAGCAAGTGAGGCACTTTGCGCACTGAATTTAAGGAGGTGTTGACTTCCAAGGTGACACAAGCATTGGATGGGCGCTATCCTGGTGGAATTCTTTCCTTTTTGAGTTCCTTATCATTGCGTTTTTCTGGTCTTTCTCTCATTGACTCCAGGTCTGGCTATGTGATTTTCATGGCTTTGGCCAATGGAGTATTTGCAAATGTGCTTCTTAAGTCCTGCACACTGGGACTTGCCTTCTTGGAATCAATGCTGCTTTGAAATCATCCTGTTATAAAGAAGCTTGGAAGAAAGATCACATAAGGAGGTCCAGGTGTTCCAGCTGTGCCAGGCCTCTGCCAACAACTGGCACCAAATACTAGACCTTGTCAAGATGTGAACACGGCCACACAAATGAGCCCCAGGTGAAACCAGAACTATCCAGCCAATCAAGAGAAACATGACAGATGAAAAATAGTTGTTCGCTGGACACAGTGGCTCATACCTGTAATCCCAGCACTTTGGGAGGCTGAGGCGGATGGATCACTTGAGATCAGGAGTTCAAGACCAGGCTGGGCAACATGGCAGAACCCCACCTCTACAAAAAAATATACAAAAATTAGCTGGGCATGGTGATGCATGCCTGTAGTTGCTGTTCTTCCTGTGCTTTTCTGTTTCTGTGATGCACGCCTCAGCTACTTGGGAGGCTGAGGTGGGAGGATCACTTGAGCCCAGGAGGTTGAGGCTGCAGTGAGCCATGCTTGCATCATTGCACTCCAGCCTGGGTGACAGAGTGAGAACCTGTCTCTGGAAAAAAAAAAAAAAAAGTTACTTTTAGCCACTAAGACTTGGAATGGTTTATTGGGATAAACCAATGAACCAGTGGATAGCTGACACATCACCTCTGCCCTAATCTTCTCTCACTATGTGGGTGTACCTGGTCTCTGGCTTCTAATGTGTGAAGGGCCTTCAACTTGAGTCCAGCTCAGAGCATGTTTCTAAAGCCCTGCTTCACTTATATAATTTCCTAGTGGTGACCAGGTGTGGCGGCTCCCACCTGTAATCTCAGCACTTTGGGAGGCTGAGGCAGGCAGATCACGAGGTCAGGAGTTCGAGATCAGTCTGCCCAACATGGTGAAACCCCATCTCTACTAAAAATACAAAAATTTGCTGGGCATGGTGGTGTGCACCTGTAATTCTGGCTACTCAGGAGGCTAAGGCAGGAGAGTTGCTTGAACCCAGGAGGCGGAGGTTGTAGTGAGCAGAGATCATGCCACTGCACTCCAGCCTGGGCAACAGAGCAAGACTCTGTCTCAAAAACACCCAAAAAACAAAACTTCCTAGTGGTTAGTTATAATGCATGGTAAACACACTTGACAACAATAACATAAGCATACCCTGAAAAATGACCCC